TCCCTTCAAGCCTCAGCATCCACATCAGGAGCTCTGCCTTCCCCAGGCACGTTGCTTACTTTCTCTCCCAGTGGTGTCGGTGGCAAGGAACGCACCGGCCAGCTCTTCTTGAATGAGACCCTCAGCGCCCTGTGCCTGCTATGCCTGCACTCCACAACCACCTGATGGAGTTTGGAGCTGCCCCATTTTCACTGCAGCTCTTCTGCTTTGGTTAACGTGCGAGCCCAAAAGTGAGACCTCGGCTCAGTTGTCTGCATGCAAGGCAGCTACTCTGACAGTGTGTTTTTCTTCCTCTTCCCCAAGGCCATGGCAAAGCTTGACATTAAGATCATCACTTTTCTCGCATTTTAATGTGTGAAATGCAGTCAACATTCCAATACCGGTGAACGACTCCCCAATACTAGAAATAACATAAGCCCCCCTCCCATGAGTAATTTTCCATCCAATTGCCCCCTTTGTCTTCTTAGCATTGACCACCAACTTCAATGGTCTTATTTGTGTTTGTTTATCTTCTGACTCCTCCACCGCCCCTGGAGTGTAAGGTCCCTGGAGGGAGGGTCTTGTATTGCCCCCAAATCTCCAAAGCACTCATCAGGGCTGGGCATACAGCAGACTCAATAACGATGCTAAGTGAATGGTACAGGAGGCAAAGCAATGAAGTATCTGAATCATTAAATTGGTTGGTAAAAACTAAAAGTCAACACTGACATACAGTTAGGCATTACAATATTTGAAATATGGAAGGCATTATGACCATATACTAGAAAATCAACAGAAACATCCATCTAGGTATTCCAACTAACAAGAATTCAGTAAGATGGCTGGATATGAAAAAAGCAAGAATTAGGAGCTTTCTTATTTCTTGCCAATAGATGATGTAATAGACAACATCCCCTCCCTCAAAAAAAAAGATCAGTCTCACATTTCACCAAAAAAATATAAACTAACAGAGTGGATTAAGAAGACACATACAGGATCTAAATGACAAAAAATGTTAGACTTTACTGAGGGATAGATACTAAGTTTGAATAAATTGGGAAACAATTGTGTTCTGTGGTAAGAAACTCAATATAGTAAAGATGTCAGTTGCTCCACAACTGATAGGTTAAAAAAAAAAATAACAGTAATGCCAATTAGAGTCACAATGGGATTAGTTTTAGGGGAAAAGAGAAGGTTTCAAGTTACTTTGAAGTTTATTGGAAAAAAATAAATGGGTAGCAATAGCCAAAAAAACTATAAAATAAAAGAGTATTAAGCTGTGTTATATTACCAGATATAAACTGAGTCATAAATCTAAGACAGTGTGGTAAACCCACAGAGGACAAGACAAAGTGGAGTCAGCAGGTCAATGGAACAGGTTCTTGGGCCCAGAAACATAGCTTATTTGGTAAAATGAGTTAGTTGTACAATAAAGGTGACAAATAGAATAGACAGGGAAAGGAAACAACTTAACAAAGAGAGAAAGAACAGTTAGTAATCTATTTGAAGAAAAAGTTTAATTAGATTTCCTACCATATATAATCAACCCAAACAAATTAAAGGTGGGTTAGGGGTTAAATATTTACAAATACTTTTTATAAAAGAGAAAAACAATAATAAAATTGTAAAACTCAAAAAAATATATATATGAATTGTGATTTGATTTCAGGATTATTAAGGGCTTTCTAACTATCTAAAGTAGAAACCACAGAAGTATAATGCTCATGATTTGATTATATATTCAACAGGGGAAACCTCTATATGTAAACAAGACCACAGAATTTAAAAAGCAAATAATGAACTGGGGAAATAGCTGCAAAATATATCATAAAGTCTTAATACCCTTAATATATAAAGAGTTCTTACATATCAATAAGAAAAAGACAAACATCTAGTGCAAAAATGGGCAAAGGATACATCTAAACAATTACAACATAAGAAATATGTATGACCAGTAATCATCAGATGTTCAACCTCACTACTAATTGAAGAAATTCAGATAAAACACGAGATATTTTTATTGCTTATCAGATTAGCTTAAAGTCTAAAAATGATAATTAATAGCAATGCTAACAAGTGTATGGGGGTGAAATGGGCACTCACTTTATGAATGGAAGAGTATTTTATACAAAAACCTTTCTAGAAATTAATTTGGAAATATGTATCAAGAATCTTATAGAGAGTTCACTTAAGGACATTTATTCTAAGACAATAACAAGTGTCATGCACAAAGATTCTGGTACATACATATTTCAGGTCTATGTGAATGCAAAAGTTACTAGAAAGCAAGGCACAAAACATTGACCTAATTCAATAACATTGAAATAAGGAAAATCAAAGAGAAAAGGAAGCATAAAAAGAAACAAATGTCTGCAGTTAACCCAGAGCTCTAAAATAAAACAGCAGACTTCAAACGAGTCGAGAATGAAGGATAAGGCTAGAATAGCATGTTAAATTCTTTAGCAAAAAGCTCTAAAATAACTTATACCGATTTTTAGCTAAAAGTCCATCAGTTAAAACTAGCATCAGTTTGCTTCAAATTGAATTTGCTCTGTTGGAATTCTTCACGTGAGCGCTCTATGAACAACAGAAGGAAGGGATGCTCTTCCTGGACACCTGCCGATGACGTCACTTGCATGCCGAGACGAGGGTTGCCACATCCCCGAGCACAGCCGTGACCAGGAGGCACTTTCTTCCCCTGAAGTGGTACTGTGCTCCCGAGGACATCATACCCCACTTTCACGTCCCTACTTGCAATCCAAAAAAATCAGCCAGGCTCCCTGTACGGAGATTAACCTGGCTCAGGAAAAGACGTGCTGCAGTAAAGTGAGGGTGTGACCAGAGAAAAGGGATTTCAACCATGCTCCGAGCCCTCCCATCCACCCAATAGCAAGAGTCTTAAAGAGAACGAAGCTGGGCATGGAAAACTCACTCCCTGAGCCGAGGCCCATGACATACCTACTCCACGGGATACAGTCAGGTTTATATGACATTTTTAATTTTCTGTTTGTTACCAAACATTCCACTTTCCTTAGGACAACAAGTGGCAGTTGAGCACCAAAAGAACACACATCTCCAGATTAAGAAGTTCAAACTCCAAGTCTTGCATATCCAGCACTCTCCCCTCATCCTATGTGCCTGGTGAGTTCCCATTCTTTCTTCACACCCAGCCCAAGAGTCCCCCACGCCCTGAAGCCTCCCCAACCTCCTGGGGTAGAGCCGACCACATCAGCACTGGGCCTTCATGCCCCCTTACGTACCCCTGCTATGGCCTGCCGCACCGCACCGCACCGCATTTGCCAGTCTGCTTGTGTCCTTTCCACCTCCCAGAGGGTGAGATCCCTGAGGGTGGCATTATGTCTTATTCTTCTGTGTTCCCTTAGCTCAGGACTGTGTCTAGTACACATCAGAAACTCCATATGTGCGCCGACTTGCATAAATAAATGGACAGATGTGACATGATGGGTTAGAAGGGGAAGTGGAAAAATTAGCCAGTTATAAGGTGACTGCCTCATATATAAGTTCTGAAGGTCAGGGACTCCGTATTCACAGTACACACAATTCCTGGCACAGAAGAGGTATGCAATAAATTCTTTTTGAATAAATAAAGTAATGAAGGCATTAGCTTTTTATTTACTATAGACACATTTTTTTCTTGGGCACTTTTCTCCCTTCCCATCCCACAACATTAGCACACCATCCTGAAAAGGAAAACACCATGTATGCCTAGGAAGAAAGGTCAGCAGGTCCTAAGAGGCCAGCAAAATAAACTTATCACCTTTCTGGAATGAATTGATGTCTGTTAGCAGAAAGTCCAGTTTTATTTTAATTAGTAACAACAGCTGACATTTATGTCGTACTTTATGAGTTTCGCAGCACTTTCACATGTTCTCTCACCTGCCATCACCTCTCTGTGTCATAGGCAGGCGAGGCAAGACCAGCCAGTGTCCTGGTAAAGCATCATTGAGTTACCTGCCCAACGCCACACAGTAGAACCACACAGTAGAACCCAGGCTGGTGGACCCCAAATTCTCTCTCCTTTTTATTACCCCGCTTTCACCAACCAATGTCATTTACACCACAGATCTGCAGGGTCAACACATCCCTCTTTAAAAGCATATAACATTTCAGAAAGAGAAAAATGCAGCATCTTTAAGAAGCAGACACATATGCTAGAAATGACTGCAGAACAGAAATCTATTTTGAGAAGATTCGACATAGGCTAGAGACAAGAAAGGAAATTTTTCCTGGAAAAATAGAACTAAAATTTATGAAGGGATTGCACATGTTGAAAGAGTTTGAGTTTGTTAGTGGGAAGATTCAAGCAGCTTTTAACACCTTCTTCTCTGATAAGCAACCAAGGGAACATTAAAGTCAGAGGACAATCATTTGCCAAGACTCTTCAACAAAAATGAACCATGACACTTTCAACGGCTTACAATTGTACACCAAGGTCAGGAATTCCTAGACACATCTAACGTTGAGAAAACACTAACATTCTCTGATCCTGAAGGAAAAACAATTCTCCTTCAAAAGAGAATAAAGACAACTAAAGTTGTGTCAAAGAATAACATAATAGCTACAATATAAAACTGAGAGAATGTAAATTTTCTGTAAGTGTGATGGTTTCCTTTAAATCTTGCTCCACATGGCTTTTCTACTTCTATACACAGAGTTACTACAAATTAGTTGATACTAATCCTTGATACTTTAACAATGAATTCACGTATTTTACAAGGCCCTTAAATCCTCAACCATATATAAAAATCTATTTTCAACTACCAGCCGTGGGAAAACCTAGAGGTTTGGTTTGTGCAGCTGTGACTCAGTGCCACCATTTGTTGTTGGCAGTCATGGAACCCACCGGTGTAGAGGAAACGATCATCCACAGAAGAGATGAGGCTTCTAAACCTTAATCTAAGGTCTCCACTTAACCAAAAGAGCTCAACACTGTCCTCAGCCAGCACCCTCCATCACTGCCGCCATACTTGATTTCTTAGGCATGTCGGCTGTAAGCTTACCTGAATTTGGTGAGATGTGTAAACTGCTCATGTCCTTGGACAGGCCATTGGTTTTAGGGCTGGAGATGGGCGCACAGGCCGACGTGGCTCGGGGTGGCCTCTTCCCTGGGACTTTCACAGTGGTTCTCAGAAGGTCAATCTCTTTACCATGAACATTCTGCATGTAATCCTGTTCAAAATGTTAAACATCCAAGAGAGATTAAAAAGAAGGCCTTTTACAATCTAGGACAAGGGGTTCTATTAGACATCGTGAATTGTAATCCTATGACCCTTCCACTGTGGCAAGCATTTTAAAAATAATGAGGTTCTGATCTGTCTAGTACTGAAGGCATCATCATTATATTGAAATCAGAGCTCTGCCTCTGTGTCCTGAACTAACCCAGGCCCTGGAAATACAAGGTGACACAGCAGATGCTTCCATTAAGGGGGATTAGAAACCAGCTGAAGAAATAAGTATGCACATGAAATCATATTTTTTGACCTGCTGCTAATTAGATGGCAGCTTAGGAACCTGGCTCTTCCTATAAGTTGTAGGTAAAATTTCATGGAATAGAAACTGTTTTGTAAAACCTTGCTGTCTCAGATGGCAATACCATTAAACATGTAGATAACACTGAAGCTGTCTGGTGGGAACTCAGGAGGAAACTCTACATAAAAAGTCAAGCATTTTATTCAGGACCAGGAAGATGTCCGCGGTGTCAGTGGTATGGTGCTGAAACAACACGGAGGTGATGGATGGAGGTGTAACAGCCGGATGATAAAAAAGAGGGAAGTACATTATTTGGTACTCAAGAAGTATGCTTCTCCAAGTAGCACACTGTACTTGGAAGAAGTATCTTGCTGTTCTCTATGCTTTGGAGGCGAATGACTAGAAGTTATCAGGGAACAATAGGGACACCTAGATAGATGGTGAAATTCTTGGCGCAGTCACTCAACAAATCAGTGAGAAGCAAAAGAATACCTAATAATTGGCTGATGGGTGGGGAAAGGGGAGAGGACAACCGAGAGCCAGGGGGAGGGGCCGGTTGGCAAATTAGGAGTTACGACCCTTTCATGCACTTTCTGGTCAATGAATCTCCTTGTCTCCGTAGACATATTATTAAATCAACAGTGCACATTAAGAAAGGATATATTCTACATTGCTCTTAGGTATAAAGCATTTCAAGTGTTTTAAGACTAAGCAGGAAATGAAATAAACAGATTCCTTCTTTGGCAGAATCTTGTTGGATTCCTTTTGGAATATAAAGGGAAAAACCAATAAATTTGTATTTAGTATAAGCAATGAAGTTCAGGTCAACGTAATTTTAGAAGAACTGCCAAACAAACCAGGGTGTGGGCTGCAAGGGACTCAGGGAGGTTGGAAAAGTGAGCCGTTTGCTTGTAACTGCCAACTAACAGAGTCAACTGATGCAGAGAGAGAACTAGAGAAAGTTCTAGAAGCAAAGTGCAAGGGATGGAGCCCCTGCCTGTAGGACGAGGAAAGTTGGCCACAGTATACAGAGGAAGCTTCGAGGGGCCCAGAGAGTGGCATGGAAGCCAAGAGAAGGATCCCAGTGGCTTCTGGGAAACAGGCACTTTCAGGACAATGCCAGCTGGTGAAGGGGTTGAGAAGCAGTCATTGGTTTGTCAATGAGCAGGCAGCTTGCCAATTGAAGAAATGATACAGAAAGGAACCAAAAGTACAAGATTCCAATACAGGGGCAGGAACGCAAACGTGGGTCCTCAGGACAGAGAGCATGAGAGAGCTGCCATTCTCTTCGCCATCTGTAGGAGGGAGGGCCAGCCTTGAGTATCAAGAGCAGAGACTTCACCTCACAATCCAGGCAATTAGAGGCGGGGCCATTTGGGAGCCAACTCAGACTCAGGAAAGAGGGTGGAGGAATTCTCAACAGAGGAGGAAGGGCAGGAAGAGAAACAACATAATGTGAGGTCACGGCCATGGTGGGAGAGACGTTCTGGTGGAGACGACAGAACTCTAGAAGGTTCGGCAAGCACCCAGGAGTGACCTCAAATGACCAATTCCTGGTGCAGAACAAAACCTCAAAAAGCCGAGGCTAGAACGAGGAGGAACGCGGGACAGAAGACAAATGGAGATCAGATCAGAAGCTGCATCACAGTGGGGGCAAATTCAGACCAGCTCTTCAGAGGGAGGGGCGAGGCTGGGCCTTCCTCAGCAGATGATAAACCATCCAGAGAGAAATACCTGCACCCACACATCTGCTGTCAGCCACGGAAGCCGGCAGCAGAGGCACGGAGCCACCCCGGGCTGGTCCAGCTGTGCATCTGATCTCCCAGGGCAGCTCAGGGAGGGAGGTCCTGGCGCGCGCAGGGCAGGCTGGCTGGGGTTGGCCATCTTGGAGGAGAGTTGCGGGTTTGGGGAAGGGACGGGCTGTATCCGGCTGGGAACAGACTGAAGACTCCACATGGAAGTCAAGATGCTCGGAAAACCCCGCCAAATACAACTGACCATGAGAAAAGCTGTGACTTTGAAAGGATGCGGACCAAAGATGGAGAGAAAGTTATTGTCGTTAAGTTAAACTGAAGGATAAGGCAGCCTGGAAGAAAGCAAGAACGTCTCGTGAGCAAGCTCATCATGAGGATGGTGAACATCAAAGAAGGAAGTGTCCTTTGGTTAGTGTAGGGCTAACGGTCAAGGTCATTAAAAAAAAACAAAGGTCGTTCTTAAGCATCTGTAATTTATTTCCATTAATGTCCACCCAAAATAAGCAAAACCCAAGTTTCAAAACCAAAGTTGAGGCTTGTAAATAATGAATTCCCTCTTGCATAGTTACTCCTTTAAAAATATCAACTTGCCATAACTTTCTTCTTTAATGCCAATTCTTAACAAATTAAAATACAATAACAGGAACGTAATTGAGCATTTATTGCTTATGGGCTCTAAAATGAGGCTAATCAGATAGTGACTGAGCCTCAGCATGGGCTCTTCTAATAGGCATGTTTTAACATACAATAACCAGGATATTTTATTTAAAATTATTATAGAAACGTACCAAGTGTCTGCTCGGGATTTGAATGCGTCAAGGGAACACATCTATCTTTGGCTCAGCATGGGCCCGGGGATCTGTCTTCCTGCCTGAGTTGGGCACTGAAACTTCAGAAGAGCTAATTCTAAAAGAAGAATCAGACTATAAATTTGGCAATTCTTATATTTCAAGCCACCACGAGTCTTACAAACTTTACGACACGCATTGCTTAATCTATAAAAGCCCTTGGACTTTGTGGCTCAGAAACAGGTGGAATGCAGACCCGTGAGTCTGGGGCTTCTGGCTTCTCCCAAGAGAAACGAGATTGAGTTTTCTGTTGTTGCAAGAACTCATCCTTTTCATCGCTCCCCAGCTTGGTACTTGCGGAATTAAAGCGACAACCACTAAACAATGTCGCCTCCTCAGAAGTGGGATGTGCACCCGATGGGTCTGAGGTAGGGCTCTCGCTGGGTGAAACAGACAGCAAGCTTGATTTTGATATGCAAATGTTACACATAGTACCCTTCTCTGCGTTCTTTGCAGAAAATGCTGATCGAAGATAAAAGGGGAAAAAACCCTTTAACAAGGCATGAGGGTAATTCAAAGCCAAGTACTTTTAAACAGCACTTAACAAGTCCCTGGGGCCCACTCAAGAGCCAGGCCCCCCAGAGGTGCCATCTCCTGCCCCTCAACAGCTTGAAAAAGTAGTAATTGCAAACCTATTTGCATTTTTCTTCTCAAGTTGTCCATGCTCATCGTGCAGATTATTTTTTCCAAGCAGGCGCCGGAGCAAAGGGACCCGCTCCCGAACGTGTCGCTACCTCCGTAACTGTGCATGGCGTCCCCCTGCAAGCCCGCTCCCGCACCTTTGCCATCCCTTGTTTTTTACATTTCGCTCCTAATTATGTTGCATCTATTGCTGTACACTTAATTAGCTGCATTAATGTGATTTCTTTTCACATAGTCAAGCAATTAAGAGCTATGATTGAGTTTCATTCAATTAGCCTCAACAAACATGCTAATTGATGTCCCAGATGCAAATGAGGTGCAATGAGAGAAACCTGCTAGCAATTGAGAGCCATGTCAGAGACCCACAGCTTTCAGCTTGCTGACAGAAGCACAGCTTAACGGGGCTCCCACCTTCTGTGGGGCTGCCCTCGGAGAGGGCCACCGAGTCATTAGTGCCTTGGCATACTAGGTCCCTCCTGATAGGGAGAATTAATTGATTCGCTGCTGTATGATGTTGTCCCAAAATCTCACAGTTGCACAGTACCAGGACGAGGAGGTCATCAACCAGGTGACCCTGTGCTCTGGCAAGGAGAGTGGTATAAGGTCTTCCTCAAAATACTGTATGAGGCTACTAAAAAAACCCACAGAACTGCAAAGGCAAAGGAGGGTACGTCTTGTCCTGGCGATCCCAGAGCCCTGGATGTGCGTGACGGCCGGTACAGTCCTCAGTAAATGGTGAGTTCATCTTAGTCAGCTCTGGGGCATTTGGCACTTGAAGTTAAGCTCAAAATACAGCAATCCATCAAGAGTTCCTAAAAATACTCTTAGTATATTGATTCTCACTGCCTCCCATCCGGCCGTTACCTTTGGCTGTCTGGTGAGAGATGGTTTGCTTGATGTGTGGGCACTAAAAGCAGTTAACAAGATCTTAAAGCTAAGCTGAAATGCATAAATGATACCATTGGCATTTCGAAATTAGGTCAACAGAATAAAACCCATGTTTCCAACTCTACTCTCTTCCAGTATAGATACTGTACTCCACATCACTCCAATTTCACTCACACATACTTTAAAAAAGTAATAAGACTCCTCATTTCCATAATTCAGTGATGGAAAAAATAACAGAAATCTTTGTTCCAATTAGGTTTTCCCAGTAAGTTCTGGTTTCTAACTGTACCTAAATGTTGAGAAATTTAATATTTTATATTAATATGCAATATTTTGTCTAAGTTAGACAAGTGTTAGGACATACTGATATCTGCTTTGGCCTTTCTGCCACAGGCAATCTAATTGGGTTTTTCCTCTTTGTATCATCTGGCCTAGCAATCTTCAAAGTGTGGTCCTTGACACCCTATCAGGGGTTCACAAATTCAAAACTATATTAAAACAATTCCGAAACACTGTCTGCCTTTTTCACTGTGTTGGAATTCACTTTGATGGTGCAAATGGGAGAGTG